TGATTTGGTACAGTGCTATCCATCATCAATAAGCCACCTTATTTGCAAAGTGCAAAACAGTATTAGTGACATGGTTAAAAATAATCTTCTCATTTTTGTTCCTTCCTTTGCTTATTATTTAACTGCAGCTTTGGAAGCTTCATTAAAGTTCCATCTATGCCTAGAACTTTATTTTACTGGAGAAATCCAAGAACATTTCTAACTGATGTTGCACAGGTAGGTATAATTAAATGAAATGCACTTCTGAGGTGGTGAATAACTAAATATATTTGCAAAGCTAGACATAAAAACTGCATAATATAATTTATAACAGAAATAATAGTGCAGTATTGCCAGAAACATATGAAGTTGCCTTTGGAATTAGATGAATCAAGTTTTTTACTTGCCCTGAATATGCAACAGTATAAATCAGAAGTCCCCAACCTTTTGGGCACCAGGGACCGGTGCCATGGAGAAAGTTTTTTCTGCAGACTGAAGGGGGTGTGGTTTTGAATACTGCCTGCATCCTGAGGATGGAGCTTTGCTTGTTTGTGTGGCTCGCTTGCTGGCATACTGCGGGACCGGTGCCAGTCCACGGACCTCGGGTTGGGGACCCCTGGTGTAAATGATCTTCACCATCATGGTAAAATCTAAGCAGAAAGGAAGGGTATAAATATAATAATAATAATATAGAGAATTTTCATTTTGAATTGTTTTCCATAAAGTTTTGTACAGCTCCCGTTCATTTCAAATGGTGTTCCACATGAGATTTTCTGCTGTGCTGCATGTTCTAGTTCAACTGAATGCTTGCCAGGCAGTAACACAAATTACTTTTAAATTTGACATTCTTAAATATTTCATTTTAATCAAATTTTAAATTAGGTGTAATATGTTAGCTTTTTATCATTTGTCAGCCGCCCTGAGTCCGAAAGGAGAAGGGCGGGATATAAATACAATTAATAAATAAATAAATAAATAAACAAACAAAACTAATCTTTTATAAATTCTTCTGCATTCCTTGAGGTGGACTACACATCAACAGGAGCTCATAAGTCAATTCCATCATACAAAAAAAAAATCAAAGCAAGCTGCAAATGAATGATTCTCCATTTTTGGAGGCTGGATGAGGTCAATAAATCAGCAGCACATTAAAACAAATCATTTAAAAAACACACTCAACTACAAATATAATAACTCATATTCTTTTAAAGACATCTCAAGAATGTCAGGTTTATAACTTTGCCTGAAGAGTCTATTGACATGGATAATAATCACTAATTAGTTTCAAAAATTCTGCTGATAGGACACACCCATATTTATTCCAGGGCTGGAGTATCTGTCCATATAGGCAACACTACCTACCTATTCCTCCTACAACACCAAATACTGAAGTGATGTTCAGGCCTATCAAATATTTTCCATCTTCAAAATAGTGGATAGATGTGTCCGTGACGTTGCTGTGTTTTTGGGAGGCACGTAATGTCCACGTCCTCACTCAGAGTTGATGCCAAACTAGCACTAATTTGAAAATCTAATGTTTCACCCA